GCCGCCCCCCCCCCCCCCCCGCCCCCCCCCGGCCGCCGGCTTCCCCCGAGGCTTTCAAAGCCGCGGAGGGGCTCCGGCGGGGGGGGCAGCCCATGCGCGCCTGGGATGCCCCACCGCCGGCTTCCCCCGAGGCTTTCAAAGCCGCAGAGGGGCTCCGGCGGGGGGGGCAGCCCATGCGCGCCTGGGATGCCCCCCTGCCGGCTTCCCCCGAGGCTTTCAAAGCCGCGGAGGGGCTCCGGCGGCGGGGCATCCGGCGTACAAGACGACCCCCGATTTTTGGGGGATGTTTTTTAACATCAGAGGTCGTCTTGTACGCCGGAATATACGGTAGTCTTAAGGGCAGCAGAGAACACAATTGTAGATCCCCCCCCTTCCTTGTCTCTTCTATACAGTTTTTCCCCTAATACTTTTTTCCTTTAAGGTTCCATATTTCTTAGCTCTTTCTCCCTTCTTGATGTAACTTCGTGATCTTATCCTCCCTTTGAGTAGCAGTTGCTGGCAGGATAGTAACTTTTTGTTCCTAAAGTGGGGGAGTATCTATTTTTAGAGTGCTGTTACTACTGATTACTAGGCATTTGGCCATATCTTGCTGAAAGGAAACACGTTTCTTCCCTGATGCAGCAAAGCACTTACGCATATGCTTAATTTGGAGTATGTGCTTCACTTGAATGGAATCAGGCACCTGCTCGACATGTTTTGCTGGAATGCAGATATAAAAGGGGGCCCTGTTGAGGATAAGGCTGCTGTGCCCAGGGAAGCTGTCATACCATAGGTAGCTTCAACTCCCCTCAGTGGTTGATGGTTGCAGACATAAGGCAGGTTTGATTATGCCTTGAACTTGGAGCAAGAGGCTGATGAGAGGAGATTGGCTTCACTGAGCTTTGGGTCTGGCTCCTGCTGAGGCAATGAGAGCTGTGAGTTTGTGCACAGGTGTGACAGCAGCAAGGCCCAACCAGAACGTGGCTATGGACAATCCTATTTTGCCAGCCTCTCCTACACTTGAGGGTCCTTCCACTTGGGCATTTATCGAGTTAGCCTGTGAATAAACAGCCTTTAGCCACACAAACTCCCCCAGGGTCAGTCCTTTTGGCAGCCTCTCCAAGCAGCCATAGGTTGACTAAGGCTATGTCTAGACTACCTGGGGCTTCTGAAAAGAGATGCAAATTAGGTGCAGATTTGCATATCTTCCTCTGATCTCTTTTTTTGAGGAATAAGGGTTCTTTCGACAAAGGGGTTTTTGTGTGGAAAAACCCCATCTAGAATGTTTTTTTTTTCCCCAAAAAATACCTCTTCTGAGAGAGGGCTTGGAAGAAGATATGCAAATGTATGCCTAATTTGCATATCTTTCAGAAGCCACAGGTAGTCTAGACGTGCCCTGTGTCTGGAAACTAACTGTGTTGCTTCTGAACGTGGCCCTTCCGAGGCAGGGCTGAGGGGAAACCTGCACGGTGACTCTGCCGATGAATAAGTATGTCTACAGTCTCCCATGCCATCAAGCCTGTGCATGTGAGCCAAGGTGGCCGTGCCCGGGGCAGGAGGTCCATGCTGAGGGAGAGGACCTTGCTGAGCGCCTACTGCATAATTCTCAACTTCCTCCACAGCCAGTGGGACTGTTGTTTGTGTGTTGGAGGCTGTCTCTGGCTAATAACAGCAGGATAAGGCACTGCTGGACTGTGGCAGGCAGAAGGTACTTACTCTTTGGCTGTGTCTAGACTGGCATGATTTTCCAGAAATGCTTTCAACAGAAAAGTTTTCCGTGAAAAGCATTTTCGGAACAGAGCGTCTAGATTGGCACGGACGCTTTTCTGCAAAAGCACTTTTTTGCGGAAAACAAATCTGAGCTGTCTACACTGGCCCTTTTGCGCAAAAGCTTTGCGCAAAAGGACTTTTGCCCGAACGGGAGCAGCATAGTATTTCCGCAAGAAGCACTGATTTCTTACAGT